ATTCCATATGGACATGCTTAGTCATTGGGATCTATGTTCTTGAGGGCAAGAACACTAAGAGAGGGATACTGTAATGTACATGCTGACAGAACTCTGACTCCAAACCTAACTCCAGCAAATCACATTCTGAAATCCAACAGAACCTGATTCTCAGTTTCTATTTTATATTCTATTTTATATTTTGCCTCTCCATTTTAATTTATCAATAGCCTGACATTGGTAGCAAGTATGTAATTGGACTCTATCAGCTACCAACCAGTAGACTACAACTACTGACCACCCTAGAATATAAACCAACCTGAGTAGAAACTAGATTGGACTCCTAACTAGTATATAAACCTTAGAATTACACTGTAGATACTCAGTTCAAATATCAACTTGGTTCAGCCCAATCTCTCTCTCTCTCTCCTCTCATTCTCCAGTCTGCAAAACCCTAATCCATTGGACTTATCTCTTACCTTGTCTCTGTCACTCCATGGACTTCCATCTGTATTCATCTTAGGGCTTCAGCTCAGGGGGTAATATTGCTAATAGCTTCACCTATGCCCAATGCATTCCATGGCTTTCCACTATGTGTAATCTTTGTCACATTTCTATTGGCATGATCCTAACAATATCAACTAACACTTACTCAGTGATTAATGCAGGAAGACTGGCAGAAGTACTTAGAGTGAAACAAGAAGAATGCAGTGATGATGCATATACTGTTGTCCAAGTTGTCTCCTGAGATCTTCTCTGTTCTTCCCATGGTGGATGACCTTCCAGAGACAGATTCTGAATTAATGGCTCAGGATATATTGGCATTGCTTCAGCATCATTTTGGCTTGGGTGATTACATCCAAGTGAATATGGCTCAGATGTTGGATCTGAATACTCAGTGAAAGATCTGCAGCATGCATTATTATATAGTGAGACTTAAGTGTGACATTTGTGGTCAGCAAAGTCATTCAACTAAGCAACATGACCTGAGTCATCACAAGAAGGCTGATCCTTCTTTCTCCACTCCTCATGTTTCAAATAATACTTAGCCACATCCATCATGTTGTCACAAATTCACCTCTATTTTTTACTTTAGTCATTTGCTTCATGTCATTCTTTCTCAATCGTCATCTGATTCTCATCATCACTCCTATCTGGTTCATTCGTAACCTGCTTGCCAATACTCCCACATCATACCCTGCTTCCATCACAATATCATCATTCTAATCATTAACAGTCACTTCTACATCACTTGATCCCTGGTTCACAGTGGATGAGCTCAGACATTCTTACTCAGACAGAGTTCCAACCATAAGGACACCACTCTTCAAGAACCTTGCTCACCTTGCTGGCCACTCATCATTAGGCAGTCTTTTTATTGGTGTATTACCATTGGCTATGTCGCACTAATTTGTTATCATGGAACTATAGTAGCATAGTTATTATTAACATACCAAAACTTGTATTTAAGCAAGCCTCAGCTGTGGGCTAAACCCCAGCTTTGGCTAAGGTTATATACTCCCAACTTTTACTTGAACTCCAAGTTCCATGACTATCTAAGTCCTGTCTACTTAACACGGTCTGCATTGCTATCTTTGTTTCGCTTCACTGAAGTGTGAGTGACAAACTAAGGCCCAACCTTGCATATCTGAGTTAGTGCTTGACACATGTCTAACAGATTGTCCTCTGAATTTTCACTATGCAAACCTAGCAAATGCCAAATCCATCTCTCCCTCCTCTCCTGATGATGTCTCCTCTTCTGTGGATGAAGAGGTCTATGCAGCTGTTAGTGAGATACCTGAATCTGATTGTACAGTCAATATTTATAATTCAGATGAACTTTTCCTGTGCACAAGGGTGACCACTGTAAGCCCTCTGTACAATGCCTTAACACTATATTTGGATGCATTAAGTGCCAGTGCTTTTATCTTGCTAGAGAAGGCTATTTGTACTCTGCTGGATTCTGGTTGTATAATGCACATATTCAAAGAAAAGTGATTCTTCTGGTCCTACCAGAAGGATTTGGCAGTTGATGTGAAGACTGCAAACTGTGGTATCCTTAGCATCAAAGCTTGCAGTGAAATCAGGATGTGTGTTTGATGCTTGGATGATACCTAAGTTGTCATTCATCTTCTTGATTATCTTCATGCTCCAGACATTCCAGTCAACCTCATATCAGTTGGAGCCTTGACCAAGTGGAACATGTACTTGTTGTTTGGAAATAACTGGACCTCAATTCATTTTCCAAAAGATCATCAATATCTGGCTAGTATAAAATTCATGGCTAAAGTGCATAGTTGCCTCTCCTTTTTGGACTGTATAGTATCAGAGTTAGCTTGTCCTGCTATACTAGAGCCTTTCAAGAGAGTAAAGCTAACACATCATACCTAGTATTGCAGACTGGGTCATTCAGGTCAAGACATCACAACTGAGGTTATCAATAGAGACGCAGTCACTGGCATTGTATCTTATGGTCCTCAGATGAAACCTGTTTGTTCTTCCTGCTTGATTGATAAACATGTGCAGAAGCCTTATGAACACAATAGTCATTGCACAGAATTTGTTAACAAGTTGATCCATGTTGATACTTGTGGTCCTTTTCTGACAGTGTTCTCTCAAGGTGCTTGGTATTTTTTCACTATGCTTGAGGGTAAGACATGGCCATGGAGATGCATATGCTAAAATGGAAGAATGATACCTTTTATCATTTTGAGACTACAGTGGCAAAATGGGAATGGATTTATGGATGTCCTATGATGTTCATGTGTTCTGATAATGCTCCAGAGTTCATTGATGGTGAAATGGGGGAATATCTTTGTAAGAAGGGTATTCATCATCAGAACTGTGTTCCTTATACTCATCAACAAAACAGAAAAATTGAACATTTCATCTGGACTATTGAGGAATATGCTCTCGCACTTCTCATGCACTCTGGACTGCCAATATCTTTTCTTGCTGATGCAATTCTCACTACAGCTTATCTCTATATAAGACTTCTAAACTCCTCTATTCTGAAAAGCACTATGCTGTATAAACAATTATATTCGAAGAAGCCAGATCTGTCAAGCACCAACTTGACTATGCAAGGTTGAGCCTTAGTTCATCACTCGCACTTTGGTGAAATAAAACAAAGGTAGCAATGCAAAGTGTTGTTAAGTATTCAGGACTTAATTAGTCACAGAACTTAGAGTTCAGGTAAAGTTGGGAGTATATGGCTTTAGCTGAAGCTGAGGTTTAACCACAGCATAGGCTACTACTTAAATACAAGTTTGGTGCATTAATAATAACTACACTACTATGGTTCCATGATAGAGAATGAGTGCGATACAGCCAATAGCAATATGCCAGTGAAAGGACTATCCAATGGTGAGCAGCCAGCTAGATAAACGAGATTCTGGAGGAGTCATGCCCTTATGGCCAAAACTCCACCTGAGTAAGAATCTCTGAGCTTATCTGCCATGAACTAGGGATCAAGTGATGTGGAAGTGACTGTTGATTGATCAGAACAAAGATACCATGATGGAAGTATTGTGTGATGCAGAAGCATCAGCACGGGTTACAAATGAGCCAGATAGAAGTGATGACAAGAATCAGATGATGATCGAGGAATGATGATATAAAGCAAATAACTAAAGCAAAAAATAAGGGTGAATTTGTGACAAGATCTGTCTCATCTTTGAGTATGAGGATGCTGATGCTGGATTACTATTCCTAGAGAAAAGCAAATGAAGAGTGGTCAGAAGATGTTTGAGGGTATATTTGTCAGATATGAGGAAGATCACATTAGCTAGTGGGTGCATGACTTGAAGGGAAAATATCACTTCTTTTGGAATGTCGAGTTTGATGAGGATACCCTTAGTAAGCTTAGTACAAAGAAGAGAATGGCTGATCATCCCATTGAGGATGAGTCCCTACTATCCTCTCTGGACAAAGAGACAAAATCTCAAACTCACTCACACACTTATACAAACTACACAATATACAATCACTCTCATAAGTTCTAGGCAGAGCAATTATTTCTAATGTGACTTGCTAGTACTTCAAATCAAGTAGAGTATCTCTATATTCTCAATGCTCTTAGCACAACTAAGCTTTTTCAAATGAATTCCTAAGTCTAGGAACTTTTACAGGAAGGGAGTTCACTGGTGTGATGCAATCTTCAAGGCAAATTTAAGTTATTATACATAAGAGACACTGATTCCAACAAAAACAGAGATGATACAAGTTGTAACTTTAGTGAGCTCACTAAAAGAACAACACAGGCAAGCACTGATACAACTATATGCAAAGATTCTCTAACTAACTCGTACTAAATATCTCAACTCAGGAACACTTCAGCAGTGCTCAGAAACAGATTCAGAAATGGAACTTTGAACAGAACTAACACAGAACAGACTGAAACAAATCATGAATATTGAAAACATATTTTGACTATTTCTTAGATATTTTAGATTTAAACATTGCTGAAAATAAATATCTTTTGGTTTCAATATTTTAGCATTAAATATTGAAGCTACCATACAGTGACTAAGTGGACAAAAAGTCTTATTCAAAAGTTATCTCATATTTCTCTGAGTGAGCTCACTAATTTTATGCAAAGCTCAAAGTCACAACTAGGCCTTCATCACAGCACTGCCTTCCACACATGTACAGTAACTGGGGGGTTTAAAACTTGCCTACTATGTACATTGACTGGCTACTTATACTTATAAAGGATTTAAAATTACAAACATTGTGCAGTACCCAGACTCCTATAAGCATAGCCTACTGCCACCACTGCCTTACTGAGCATTCAAGTTGAACTTCTCAGTTTTAGTCTCTTTTCCATAGTGAGCTCACTAAATGCATGCCAAGAGATGCTTGTCCAACACCCACAGGCTTATTTTCTGATGACCAGCAAGGTGAAGGTGAGGAAAGAGTTGATAAGGAAGAGAAGATTGCTAAAAGAGAAGAATAAGATAATAGATTCAGAGGCTGCAGGAGGTTTAAAGAAGAGGAAGGTCAAATTGAGCGAGATAGTCATGATAAGTGGAGATGAGAATGCTGAGGGGCCATCAGAAAGGCCTTTGAAAAAGTTAAAGATGAAGCCTGAAATGCAGGCTAATGATCAGGAGTATAAGGGTAATGATATGTTTTCTGACAGTCACTGACAGTGTTACTGACTTGGTGTTTTAGATTGTTGTGGGTGTTATTGTATGGACAACACTAAGTGTTTTGTTCATAGTAAGTGCACCTATGAACAGTGCAAGATGAAGAAATCTAGATGTTCATTTAACAAGATGGGGGAATCAGTGGCTGCAGAGTCTAAAGATGTCTTGGATCTTTTGCAAAAATTATACATGAAGATGGAGGACTTTGAGGAAAAGTTGAAACATGTTGAGGGAAAGATGGATACCCTTAAAAGCTGGATTGATGATTTTGTGGACAATTTCCACTCCAGGAATGCCATGGAGTACCTGGAAATTTTCATTTATAAGGGTTTTAAGGAGGAATGAGTAGTGTCTAAGGCCAAGTTGGGGGAGTTGAAGAATGTTAATTCCAAGGTGCTCTGAATCATCATGAAAATGCAGCTGGATGAAAATGTTGCCTATATCTGGCATGCCTCAACTCTAAACTTGATTGTCATGGCTTCAGTGTACATCTTGAGATCAGCATTCTGCTGCTCATAAAAGACTTCAAGGTTGTTTGGGATAACATTAGTGGATGTTGGTGGAGCCATATAAGGCTTAGAAGTGACAGACAAGTAGTATTTCATATTGGATAACATGATTGACAGCAAGAATGAAGTGAGAAAACAAGCAGAGATAGTGGTGGTTGTAGTTTAAGAGGTGAAAATTCATGTGACCCACTTGTAAAATTCCATATAATCATGCTTGACCATTGAAATCTGCATCCTTAAGAGCAAAAACATTAAGAGAGGGATACTGTAATGCACATGCTGACAGAACTCTAATCTCAAGCTTAACTCCAACAAACTACATCTCAGATCTCTATACATTCTGATTCCTATATTTCATATTCTATTTTATATTTTATCTCTATATTTTAATTTATCAATTCTAGAGCCTAACATTGGTAACAAATATGTTATTAGACTCTACAATCATCCACTGGTCCTTGATATGATGAAATTGAGAAGGGCTTCAGATTTTTTTGTACAAATTTGTAAGACAAAATTGAGTACACAGATGTCTGCTTCTAGATCTGATGTATATATTTCATCACTTTCTTGAACATGTATGGTAAGAGGAGCATAATATAGACCAAGATCAGTAGTAAAAATCCTTATCAGCTGATTCACCACTCCTTGATATGCATCACATCACAGCTGATATGTCTTTTTTAGGTACCATCAATTGAATTAATCATCCTCCATCACTGAGCTGCTTTCACCCATCTCCTCATCTTTGTCGACTTCTTCGGCCTCGTCATCATCAGTATCTCTACAAAATTACTCATCCTGGCCATCTGAGCCTTGCTCATCTATCTCTGTGCCAAAGATAAGCACCTAGAAAATATTGTTCATGATTTAGCAATCACATTGTGACACTGCCTAATCAGTCTAATTAGTCTCACACTGCTGAAATCTCAAAAGCTCAAGGTTCATGCACCTGCTTCACCTTTCAGATTTTGTTTAATGTTCCTTTATGCTATCAAAATGATATGCTCTCCAAATAATCATGTCTTTTGTTGATTAACTGCCTCTAGATGTAATTTAAATTTCATCTTTTCTTAATTTCACAATCATTTTAAGGACTGTAGTTTGAGGACCCCACAGATACCGTTGAGATACATATATGTTATAGGTATAATGTATATATATATAATTTAAAAAACTCTGAGAAAAAAGGGTATGTTTTGCAAGTATAAAAGCCCACCATATCAAGGAGTGGTACCATATTAAGGACTGGTGGATGACTGTATAGGCCACTGACCAGTAGACTACAATTTCTGACCACTCTAGAATGTAGATTATACCAAGTAAAAATTAAACCAGACTTCTAAAACAGTATATAAATAATAGAACTACACTGTGCATACTTAGTTCAAATATCAACTTGGTTCAACTCTTACTCTCCAGTCTGCAAAGGTCTGATCTGTTGGACTTATCTCTTGCTTTTTCTTTATCTCCCTGTGGACTTCCATCTGTATTCATCCTAAAGCTTTAGCTCAGAGGTGATATTACTAATAGCTTTGCCTACACTCTATACACTCCACAGCCTCTGCTGCATGCAACACATGAGCAATCAAAAAATTTAGGATGATTCTATTATAGTTCTTGTAGCAAAGATTTCCACAAAAAAATAAGAATACCTTAAACTTGTTTCTAAACTCTCAATTTTGGAACAAACAGAACATATCTGGAAATAGAAAAAATTGGGCACATTATAGGCAACACAAATATGAGAATCAGAACATAAGGTTCTGAGAGATCCATAACTGTCTCTGGAAGCTTTCATTCATGTTTGAGTATCAGGAACATGAAAACAAAAGGTACTGGAGAGTCCGGTATATTAACCTTAATTTTCTATTTTAGTGCTGAGATAGGATGAACCTGGAGTTTTGTTTTAGGAGTCAATCTCAGAATAGCCTATATTCCTCCTGAAACCATTGATTCTGGAATGTCCAATACGTAGCCGAAGCTGCTGAGCTTTAGCCAATGTTTAGCTGAATAGTGTAATGAGCATGCCAACAGAAACCCAACCACCGACCTGACTCCAACAAACCACTCTGAAATCCTGTGAATCCCGATCCCCAGTTTCCATTTCATATCTCATTCTATATTTTCTCTCTCCATATTAATTTATCAATAGTCTGACATCAGTAGCGAATATGTCATCAGACTCTATCGGCTACTGACCAGTAGAATACATCCTCTGACAACCCTAAAATATAGACCACTCTAAGTAAGAACTAGATCGGACTCCTAACTAGTATATAAGCCTTAGATTTATACTGTAGATACTCAGTTTGAATATCAACTTGGTTCAGCCCAACCTCTCTCTCTGACTGTCAACTCTTGTCCCCCAGTCTGCGGAACTCCAATCTGGTGGACTTATCTCCCAATCCTTCCCTATCATTCCACAGACTTCCATCCATACTCATCTTAGGGCTTCAGCTCAGGGGTGATGTTGCTAATAGCTTTGCCTATGCCCGATGCATCCCATGGCATTCCGCTATGTGCACTTACTATCACAATCCTATTGGCATGATTCTAACAAATGGAAGCCAAACAACTCAATTTATAAATATAGAGTAAATCATGTTACATTTGGCTACAAGAAAGAATGCATGCATCATAGGTAGATATGTTCAAGACAATGGATAAAATGTATGAAGGATAAAAGTATAAATTGAATGCTACAATTTTTAATTCTTGAGAGTCAGATGAAAGTTCTTCAAGATATTAGTGGAGTCCACGAGTTAAGGAGGAAAGGAAAACATATAATTTTCTGATAAAATAAATATGGCCTCAGCCATGTCATCAGATGTTCAAAGTAGTGGGAATATATTCTATTGCACCAGGAGTTGTGTACTGCAGGAAGCCAAGTAAATGGCCATAAAAATTGTAAATCTTTGCCACATTACATGAGGAACCATCAACAATTAAATCACTGTGAAAGAATCAGTACAATTATAGTCAGTGGTACAGAAACCTATACAACAATGTAATAGATATGAGAATAACCTCAAGTGGTCAGACGTATGTCATCAATACAATGCTGTAAGGCAGTGTATAGGTCTTGGGTTTCATCCTCCAAGTATATCCCAAATGAGGACTCCAATCTCCTTGTGATGTATATCTTAATCTCTATCTATGAATGCTATTCAGGTCATTGAACAGAGAATGCTCTGGATTCCTCACCTTGGTAGCTGAAAGATTGAAAAATAGCAGCAAAGGAAGGATAAGAGTTATTAACAGCAGGAGAGCAAAGACAAAAACTGATAAGAGCCTATGGCTGCTGACAATCAGTGGGGTTCTTAAGGACTTTACTGTGAGCATGCCAAAGACATACACAACAAAAGAAGAGGGTTGAAGCATGGCTGAGACCTACAGAGCCAAGAATGTTTGGGGTGTACAGGTGAGGCATCATTGCTGCTATTTGTACTCAGTCTGACTTTTGCTAGTCCTTCCATCTGCCAACACTGCTTCATGACTTTTACAGGTACATTCGGATTGACTTTCATTTCCACTATAGCAATAAGTGCTACTACCCTATCTCCTGGCTCTGAGTATACAGTCTTACTCACCTTGAGCAATGGAAATGAGATGTATGAGAAGCAGAATACCATGCAAAACATGAGAAAATCTGGTAGTTATCTGCCACTGTTATTGATGAACCTGAGCCCATTCAGATATCAGACACACCTACTGTATTACAGTGTCATCAACAGAAATCATTTCATTCTCAGAGCATGATCTCTCTTCGAAGCTGAATCCACTTAAAGTCCTTAGCATATCTGACCTTTCTTGGTTCTTGTGAGACTAGGGCTGGTTGCTCTCAAAATTTCCCTGTTCCTCTTGACCGACACTCCTGCTTGCACCATATTAGATTACCACCAATCGAAGGTTTCCTTATGGCTCATCAAGTCTTAACAAATATTGCTCTTGGCTATGAGTATCCACCTTCTTATCTTTGGTGCTGTTTCAATATAATATTCTTGAAGAACACTTGTTGGTTCAGATAGCGACTTACATCACAGAGAATTTTATGGCAACTGAAGGGATATAAAAGGACACAGAAACCATCAATGTTCTCTGGATAGACCCACCATCTATCATTATCTGGCAAGCAAGTACTGGGTAAAGGGGGATGGAATGGATGGCAGATGGCAGATGGTGGGAGACTGACAGGCAGTAAGTCCTTCTGGTTGACAGACTTCACTCTATGCTCACCAATCTTCATCTGACTTGCACATAGGTTCATATTCCAGAAAGTGATGGGTGAAGACAACAGTATATAATGGGTATTTTTACAAAAAACTTGTGTTAGCCTACTCATGACTCGTGCCACACTTGAGTACCACAGGTGTTGTGGTTCTGTGGATGGTCATGTGAAGGATACAAGTGCTGGATGTCCTGCAGGTACAGGCCCAACATCTGACATTTGTGAAGATCTTTAGTTCCTGTGAGGATGAGAAGAACCAGTAGTAGGTTCTTGTACAATGTTCACCGTCTTCCTCTTGACCTTGATCATTCAAGAAACAGGTCAAGAGGTAACAGCTTCTTGTATGGCTGTCACCATTCTCTTCACTGCATTAGTAATAGTGATAGGTGGAGACTTGGATGCATGTATTTGCCTCATGTTTAAATGCATTCCATGCAGCTGGACTCTCTTCTACCAGTTAACCATGAATAGCAGTGAGTAACAGTGTTTGCTTACCTACTTGAGTCTTCCAACATACATCGTTTTGCATGTGCTTGGGGAAAATCTTTTCCACATGTTTCTGTATCAAGAGGGTGAGAATATTCTAGCTAAGAAGCAGCAGAAAACATACAACAAGGTGTTTGTAGGCATCATCACTCTAGTTCAGCTCGATGCCCAACTGCTTTAATCCCAAAGACCCAATTCCTTTTGGCTGAGGAATCAGGAGCCTTTCAATAGTTACTCGAGATGGCTGATGAACAACATGCTCATTCTACAGTTCTTCACCTTTTTCACTGTCTTCTTCATCACTGTCTTCTTCATCTTTGTCTTCTTCACCCTCACTGTCTATAGGTCCAGGTGTACACCATGGTGGCATGATTGTTTGTCACTTTTTGCCCTTGTCTATATGCTACAGCAGTGACAGCAAAGGAGTAAGGACCCTCGTGTTCACACAATACAAATGCAGCCTCTAGGGACAACAATTGGCAAAACATCAGAGAAAACCTTTCTCTGAGTCAACTTTCACACAGAATAATTGTTATGATTTCTATATTTTTTCTTATCTTCAGTGCTAGCTTTATCTTATCAGAACATCTAAGTGCTCAGACTGTTTACACACCTAAATGGTGCAGTTATCATGACATGCCTGCAGCACACATTCTTTGTTGTTTCACATATGGTTACCACTCAGTAGTGTACTATTATTAGCACACTGAACATGTATTTAAGTAGAGTCTCAGCTGGCTTAAACCCCAGCTTCAGCTAAGGTTTAATCTATCCAACTCATAGCTTCTTGCTCTGCAACTATCTAAGTCTAGTTATTGACTTAATACCCTAATATTGTCTACATCATAAACGTTCCACTGAAGTGCAAGTGGCATTCCCTTGTTTGATATTGTTTGGCAAGTTGGTGGCTAACATTTAGCCAAAGCTTGCTTCAAATATTTCTCATCATTATACTATGGTGACCAATGTACATGCCCATTCTATCTCTCAAAAACACTATCACAATCTCCATGGTCTTTGGCCTATTCTGTGCTGCCACCCTGTTGTACTGGATTGGGAGAATCTTCTCCTGTTGCCAATGCAGGGAACAAGCATGCTTACTATTACAACCCATCCCTCACCTTCCTGTGTCATACTACATATATCTGTATCTGCACACCCAAGTAATCAACCAACCAACCCTTCACGATGGCAGACCCATCACATCCCAACACTCCAGCCGATCAGGATCTGTTGACATCACAGAGTCCATACCAGGATCAAACCACTTAAGTGCAGCATTCACACCTTTCACTCACCAGCCAGAGCTCCCAGATGAGTGAAGAAACGAAGAAAAAAGGAATTTGGGGGACTATAGCCAACAAGGTAGTGCTCTTGAGGATTACCTCCTGTCAATCAGGACTGAAGAGAACCTTGACCCCCATCTCAGAAGTTTCTACCAAGTGGCACTCCAGGAATACCAAGATGCTCTCACTCGCATCGACAATGGTGGAGACTCAGATAGAGGATCTTACCATCCTAAGTCCCCATCCCCAGCATTCTCTCACACAGTTCATCCATGGACTGCTCGACACAGAGTGGTACCAAGCCTTAGCCTCCTACTCGGAGGAGAAGGACCTGAGCATTATAACCTCTCAGCTGCTGGATCTGCTCAGGGACATGCCACTGAGGTCACTGCTTCACTGAAGCCCTACTCACCACCTCCTTTCCCCACTGCTGAAGACGAAAGAAGACAGGCCATCTGGGATTGGATCAGGGCAAATAGCAATCCCCTCCCCCTCCCCAAGCCAGAAAGAGAGACGAAAGGTGTTCCCACCTACCCTCTCTACCATAGTCCCCTTAGACCAGATTTGCTGACTCTTGAAAATGCCAAGCAACCTTTTGTCACTGAGAACTGATAAATCACAGATGCATATGTGCTTGCCAGCCCTGTCGTCCCATTCGAGTGACCATGGACCAGGGTCCATCTCATGCTCATCAAGTCGGGCTTCGACGTTCAGTCTGCCTGGCTCCTCCCAGAAGTCAAGGCCCATCTGAAGGCTGGAAGAGCAACAGCAGCACTCTCAAGAAGGGTCCAGAAGTGGGAATGCAACCAGTGGCCCCACAAATTTGATGGGACAGCAATTCCCACCACCAGGCCAAGCCCAACCTGGGTCAGCAACAACAACCACCCTGAGGCCAACTTCATACAAACCAGGTATGGGGTTGGAGAACCTAAGGTTGTTGCCAGGTATCAAGGGCAGGAGACCTACGATTGGTGCCACATCCCCATTCTCGATGACAATGAGGCCTGCCGATATGCTGCAATATACTCTTGGCCAGCACCTGACAATCCCTATGCCAGCAAAGCTGTCTGTCAGGATATACTATCGAGAGGTTCTGGAGCAGGTCCATCAGGTACTTGCTAGAGTTGTAGGCATCATGCCAATTCTCCTATGAGGTCTTGGATGGGAAGAACTATTTGATGTTATGGTATTCAGGATCCAGGAAGATCCCTATTGGCTGAGGTCAGAAGCAGGAATTGACTGGGCAGGAGCCTGCACAGTAGGAGACCGTATCAGCATTGTTACGGTTTATTCGTTTTTCTTTGTTTTACTCAGCCTGATTACTCATATGCGATCATAATGGACAGTTTCTCACTGTACTATTATTAGCGTATCCAAGTGTATTTAAGTAGAGCCTTAGCTGGTCTAAACCCCAGCTTTGGCTAAGGTCTAATCTACCTAACTCAAAGCTCCCTGTTTCGCGACTATCTAAGCCCTCGATCGACTTCTACAATCTCCTTTGACCTCTAAGAGTATCGTCCACCGAAGTGCAAGTGGCGATCCTTAGTTGATCTAAGTCAATTAAAGTTGGTTGTTGACATTTAGCTGAAGCTCATCCTACATTGCCTAGCGCCACGTCTGAGAACGAACGCTACCCAACGATCTCTTTGCTAATTTCCAAACTTGCACCGTGTACTACCCATCTTCGTTATACGTTAATCGGTGTGCATGCCGAGCATCAAAACTGTTACGATTATTCTTTTCTTTTTCTTTCCTTTTCTTTTCTTTTCTTTTCTTTAGTCAGCCGGATTACGCGACGCGCGATCACCACGGACTGACTGCGCAGTAGTATTTTTAGAATACTCACGTGTATTTAAGTAGAGCCTCAGCTGGTCTGAACCCCAGCTTCGGCTAAGGTTTATTCTACCTAACATCGAACTCCGTTCTTCCGTCTATCTGTCCCATCGACTTTCGTCGCCTTTGACTTGTTGGAGCATCGTCTACCGAAGTGCGAGTAGCGATCCTAACACGATCTAAGTCGATTAGAGTTAGTGGCTAACATTTAGCCGAAGCTCGCCTACAATCGCCCAGCGTCCGTGGCCACTCCTTTATCACACGTACGTCGAGTCCCTCCGACTCCATGGAGATGCCCGGGAGTCCCCAGAAGTCCAGGCCAGAATGGACCGAGGGCGAGCGCACGATGCACGCATCCGACGCGCCGAAGAGGATGCCCTCTATGGACCCAATGGCTTCTGGGACCTTCCCCTCGAGCCCGATGCCACTCCCGCCGAAGTGGACAACCGAATACGAGCGGCCGCCGTCCGCTACACAGGATATGCGCGAAGGGCCGGAACCGATCTCGAAGCCAGGACCCGAGCGTGGAGAGTCTACCAGGAGGAGATCTCCAACGAGGACTCCGACATCGGGCGGTGGCGGAGAAACAAGGAAATTGACCGAATCGCCCGAGAGAGGAAGGAGGCAGAGGATGCCAAGTCGGCCTCCAAACCAGGCCCTGGAACCGACGGTAATGGCGGCGGTGAAGCAGGTCCTCCTTCAGGGCCCAGTGCCTAGGCCGGGCATTTTCGAACTATTACCCTGGCATGGACTGTACGAAATTATGATGGAAGATATGGAGAGAGACCCGCAGTGGCTCTTCTCCGAGGCGGGCGAAGACTACCGCCACGCGAAACAAATGGGGGATGTATATCTAATGAAGAACATCCTCGAAGTGGAGACCTGGCACCGGGCGGCTATCGTCTGGAACCTGGTAAACCCCAATGCACCACAGCGGGGATGTGAAGCGTACAGGAGGCCTCAACCGATGCCTCCCCCTACGGACCCCTCGGGCTTCTTCCCCGAAGGCTTCTTCGGAGGAGCGGGAGAAGACGACGACGAGTGGGACGACCAGGGCGCTGGTCCGTCCACACGAGACAAGGGAAAGGGGTCTACAGTACCCCCGTTCCCGCCAAAAATGCCGGATCCGGCGGGATACCCTCCCCCGGGAGAAAATCGAAACTTGCGGTCGGTATCGCGACCGCCTAAACCGCCGGTACCGCCGCATGTACCATCCCCCCCGGATCCAATTCCTCCCTGGCAACTCGCGCCGGGAGCCGTCAATAATCCCTGGAATGATGTCAAACCCAAGTTAGTAACTCAGCCCGAGTACTTTACTGGGGTTTCCTCGGACATCACGCGCTTCCTCCACCACTGCGAGGTCTATTTCGCCGTCTTCCCCATGTACTACACTATGAACGATCAGGGGCATAACCCTTACCGTATCACGTTCGCTCAGGGGTACTTACGGGGGGACGCCCAGCAGTGGTGGGTCGACCAATACTACCGCTACCGAGACCCGCAGGGTCATTGGAGGTTCCCCACCTGGGCAGAATTCTCCCATGACCTCACGCAGGAATTCCGCGAAGTAGCGGAGTTGACGATATGGAAGGCCGAGTGGAAGAAGGTCCGTCAATCGGACTTCAAATCGGCGGTAGAGTTCTTCGCGAAATTCGAGAGGCTAGCACACAAGTGCGAAGAGTTCGGCGACGAGAAGCAGATGTTCGAAGCAGTCGAAGCGGCGATAAGGCCGACGGTGCGAAACACGGTTATGCATGGGGACAACGAGCGCCCCACAACCTACGCACAATGGAAGGCGCGCGTCTTGAGGATAGACGCCAACTATCGATACGGAGTAGCCCAGGGACTGGGCAGTAAGTCCTCCTCGAACCAGGCCGGTTCGGGTAGAGGCAATCAACAGAAGGGTGGACAGGGGTCAGGTGGCGATAAGAAGGATGCCACGGGAACCACGTACGGTGGAGCAGGGCAACCAATGGAGATCGACAAGCTGCGGTCCGACAAGCGGTGCTTCAAGTGTGGGAACACTGGGTGGAGCCCGAAGCACAAGTGCCCCAATGACAAAGCGAAGTGGCTCCCTGTCAAACTCCCACCTCGCAAGAAACCCAACGTCGCCCGCCTCCGCCAATTGCTTGCTGAAGCCGAGAAGGAGGATCTAGGAAAGGACACCAAAGTCGAGGAAGTGAAGGAGGAGAAGGGAAAGTCGTCAAAAGACGAGCCGGCGTCGAAATAAGCGATTCGACGGCGTCGGCAAAGGACTCAGTTTCCACTGGTGCGCATTCATGTAATTCTAGTCGGACTTATACTACGTATGTAGGTACTCCGTATGATCAATATACCAATTTTTTCGCCGCGTTACCAGTTGAAGAAACTAAGGACGAGGAATCGCAACACCCCGATGGCGTAGGAGGGGATTTCCGCCACTCGGCGCGGTCTGCGCCCAGTACTGAACCCCTAGGGGCCGTCCAAGCTCAGGAACCCCCGGCCGACCGCACAGGGAAAGCCCCTCAAGGGCAGAGCCCCCTAGGTCGTGTCTCGACTGCACCCTTGACGAAGGGAGGTCAGCCCGGAGAGGGAGAAAGGTCGCCAGCCCAGCCCGCTGGGCCTGCGTCTTCAGAGGCGTCTGTTCCAGCGGGAAGCGTCGGAAAAGCAGCTGAGGTCGTGAGCTCGAGGGACCACCTGCCCTTAGTAGCCAAGGGACACCCGACGGCAAAAAGTGCAGACCCCTCGGGGGAGCCAATATGTGTGCCCCCGCAAAGGGCAACCCGAAGTACCGCCGGGTCTAGGAAGAGCACTAAGAATAGGACGACTGTGGGGGTTACAACGTCGCGCACAAGCGCCCGTGGCCAGGGCCGAACACAGGGCAGCGAGCCCTCCTCCACCACCTCGAACTCCAAAGGCGCCCAAGTGCCGCCTCTGGACCTTTCTCGTCCAGGTGACCAAATGCCACTTCGAGGGAAGAACCCTTCGGTCTCGCTGGAGGAAGTCGAAGACGAGGAAGCTCATTTACGGTCCGACATACCGGTAGTCACTCCCAAAAGGTCGACGTCACCGGCCATGTCCCTCACCGCAAACGCCAACGACAAGAAGGTGTTCGCGGAGATGTACTATGAGCCCCACGGGATCCTATGGACCCGTCGAGCCCTACGAATCGCTCGGGGGGACGCAGCGGCTCGCGCCGTTCTCAAAGGATGGATACACCCTCGACGATGTGAGGAGGTGACCGATCAGCTGTGTCACCAACTCGAGGAGCAGACGGAGACGGCCACCCAGGCCAGAGAAAAGTGGCAGTGGATGGAGGACCTGAAGAAGCCCCCTATGTACATACGAGGCAGGAAGGGGCGAAACGTTTCAATAAAAGTGCGATTAGAGACGCTCGATACTCGGGAAACCCACGCCGTGTCCGCCCTAGTCGACAGCGGGGCCACGGGAAGTTCCATTGATCGCACTTGGGCCCAGACCCACGGGCTCAATTTGAAGAAAGCGGCCCGATCCGTCCCGGTCTACAATGCCGACGGCACGCGTAACAAAGGAGGGGACATCACCGAATATGCCGAAGTACGACTACGGATAGGAGATCACGTGGAACGGATCGAACTAGCCGTGGTCGATCTAGGCTCCACTCCCTTGTTCCTGGGGCATGACTGGTTACAGCGTCACAACCCGCTCATTGACTGGGACACCGGGGCAGTTACCCTGGCCCGGTGCACATGCAGGAAGATCCCATTTTCCCTTCCCGACACCGATCCCTCGGCACGATGGGACGAGTATGAAGAAGGGGATACCATTCTCGTCGTCGACTTCGAAGAAGCCTTCCACGTGCGAGCTATGGGAACCCGGGCTAATGAATTGGCAGCCCGAGCCAACGCCAAAAAAGCCACCAAGTCGTTTGAAGAGATAGTCCCGGAAGAATACCAAGAATTCAAGGACATTTTCGACAAAGAAAACTTTGACGAGTTACCACCCCGTAAACCCTGGGATCACGCCATTGAGCTGATTCCCAACGCCAACGCCAACTTAGACTGCAAAGTCTACCCTCTCAACCATGCCGAGCAGGAAGAGCTAGACAGGT